TGAGCCAGTTAAGGCAGTGTACTTCCGATCAGAATCGCTTGTAGTTGATGAGCTGTGGCCACTTGGTAAAACCTTCACTACTGGAAGCTTGTCTTGCCTTGTCGGGGAGGCACAGTGACGACATATTTGATCCAAATGAATTTGGGCTGGGACGGTTTCCAGCTGAAATCCATATTTCACTGCGATTTCAAGAGCCTGACATGCAAATTCCTTGGCTGAGGCATAATTGCCCTTCATGAAGCAAAGCTCTGAACGTGTCATCGAATACTTTACCCTTGCAGCTACCGGAGAATTTTCGAGATCACGATGGCTGCGATGATATTCGTCGAGGTGCTTTTCCGCCTGTCTCGCTGACCCTTTCTTCACTCTTTCACATTGACCTGGTTGGGAATGGCAATTAGTCGTTGGAAGAGACAGACGTGCCAAATACAGCAGCGCAAAACTTTGTCTCGCTGTGTACAAGTGACTTTCATCCGACAGTTTCCTACANCTACCGGAGAATTTTCGAGATCACGATGGCTGCGATGATATTCGTCGAGGTGCTTTTCCGCCTGTCTCGCTGACCCTTTCTTCACTCTTTCACATTGACCTGGTTGGGAATGGCAATTAGTCGTTGGAAGAGACAGACGTGCCAAATACAGCAGCGCAAAACTTTGTCTCGCTGTGTACAAGTGACTTTCATCCGACAGTTTCCTACATCTGTCGATGCATCGACCAAGCCTTTTGCATGCCTCTTTGTTGCAGTGCTTTGTATCGTTTGCCAATGTTGCGAACGCCATATGCGAGCGTGCCACTTCGTAATCGAGAAGGGCGAGAGCGAACTTAGGCATGGTTAAATTGACGTTCTTTAACCTCTCACCGCTCTCCTTTGCGTCTTCCAGGCATTGAAACGCCTTCCCCAGCTTCTTGGGCAGCCTTCGAAATATGCTTGCGGAAGCAACATTTCCAAGTACTATCAAAACATCCTGTAACGCTCCACTGATCGCACTTGCTTCATTATTTACAATGTTTAGACACTCTTTTGCCTTTCTGTTTGCTGCTTTAAAACTTTTCTGATATGTTAACTTAACACTTTCTTCCAACAGGAGAAGGCATTTAATCTCCGGGTATCTGTCGTATTTGGTTTTACGTCGAAGTAAGGCTCTTTCGAATTCTAGCCATTCCCCTCGGTCGCGCAAAGGATACAGCTTATCCACTATTCTGCACATTACGG